TAGTGGTATTCACCATAAACTCGTACAGAAGAACGGATCCCAGGTTGGCAGAGTCCGCATTTATTGTCCTGTAGATGTACTGAAATTCTTTATCTGGTTGTTACAGACGATTGACCCGAATTTAGCTCAAAAGGAGTAAGGTATACATCCTCTAAAACAGGGAGTGAAGAGCTATACTCTACCCTTGATCTAACTTGTCATACAGACAAACTGGATTTGAGGGCTTCCTTAGGAGTCACAGCTGAATCGAGGACTTTGTATTAGATACCACTGTCGCGGTATTTCCTCCGGAACGTAACTCGCATTTCTGTACGATACTGCGCCTTACTTTCTACTTCAATGATAACACGGTTAATTTCGAACGACAATATGAACTATTATTAAAGATAGACGCAAGTAGGCAATAGCACTCAAAGTTAAAAATAAATTTACAGCAATTCAAAATGACCATCCCAGTATTGTTCATATCACGCGAGGAGACATCAACAAATGACTGATTCGAGCTTGTTTATGATCTAAAAGTGTAGCTTATAATGGCCTAGCATTTCCTCTTTGTCAGCTCGCGCTCAGCAAATGAAGTGACTATCTGAATGAGCCAGAAGATCGCATTGGAAAAAATGTTGGATCCGGCCCTCGTGCTATAAGTACTTTTAGGCTGTGTATCAGCAAACGCACACAGAAATCAAAGGTAAAGCGATTATTTTGTGTTTTCAATTTCGACCAGTCAACAGTAGATGGCAAGTGATAGACAGCAACTGATTGTATTGCTTCCGTGCCACAAGCCTACAAGCCATTAGCCATTATCACTTTTTGGCCCGAGTGGGTATATAGTCTAAACTAACAAGCTTAAACGCTTTCTATGCGATAGACCCCGTTGTTAGATATCCTTTCGTCTATTTCCAAAATGTGCTGCTAGGCGAATCAGGAATGCAGAGCGATCATTTGAGACAATTTACTTAGAGGGCACTGGTTCTGTACGTTTATAAGCCAAAGTTTCTCTTTTGCTCGTCATCTGAAGCTCCGGTAGTCCTGGACACTCGATTTCATAGGACGGGTACAAGGAGCAATATACGAGAAATTTGTCTCATTCGCAAGACTCACCGTATACCATTGATCCCAACTCTCTTGACAGCAAAACATAGACTTGAGGAATCCCCAACAGTAGAAACTGGTCGTTTGCTTATTTAAATAGTCCCAGTTAGTTTAGCGAATTTGCAGCGAAAGTGGTTCGTAACTTCGCTCAGGTATTTTGCGCTACGATTTCTTTAAAGGTTAGTACTTTCATTACTGAAGTATCACTTGCCCATGAATAACCACCGTGCAGTTTGATATTTCCTCTGCAGTATGAAACTAGTATCGTTTGCACTCCACAATGTTCCAACACCGGCTCACGGATGTCATTGAATAGCTGAACACCCTATCAAAGCGAGAGTCACTTGCTCGTTCAAGGCCACGCTGAATGCCATATCAGCGTACGTTCATCTCCCACCTTACTTTCTGGTCGTCTCTGTTCACTTTCTTGCGACAACATGCAGTACGGACACCCGAGTAAGGTGCCACCTCAGTCTACATGTCCAAATACTCTTTGTAGTCGAAATATTTTCAAGAGGATACAAATTCTATGTTTTGTGCAATGGAACCAGAATCCGTTTCTTTTTTTCTGTGCTCTGCACAAATCAGTAAGTTACTTCGTTCCTACGAACAGTAGCGTGTGACAGAGAAGTTCACTACATGGCTGACGATTCGATGCTTTCGAGGACATACTCGGTGCGCAGTGTGTGTCTTACCCAAATGGAATGCAGTTGGCGCCACATATTTTCACTTAAACCCCTTAGCTGTGGAACAACCGCAGGCTGGTATTTTGCGTCCACCACGTGGGTTGTACTCAGCTAGGCAGTTTGTCCATTGTAAATGTTGCTTGCTCTGGTTTAGATGAACAGAGTGTTTTCAGTTAACCATCATACATTGGATGGCTCACACAGATTCCTTTCTAATCAATCACTTTTTCATTATTTTGTCCAACATTTAGTATATCAGGAGGGTCCCTACAAGGTGATTTGCAAATGACGAAACAGCGCTATTCGCAGAATCCTGCAGTAAATTAATACCAGGTATTGAGAAAGCCAATAGCTACTTTTATAATGCACCATCTGTTCTTGATTACCGTAGACACTGTTTAAGTGTTACGTGTCGATAATTTCCCGCTGCCAGCACCTGCCAAAACAGTAGACAGGTTTTACTGCTCCAGATGGGTCGGTTACCCAATAGAGCTATTTTATGCATCATTTTCGCATCCTTCCATAATTTGTGCCAGACCTGGGGAGTGAGCGAAAGGAATAACTTTCCTTTCTCAAAGTTTGAGGCAACTGGACAAAGCGCTGCTGTCTCCGCGAACCAAAGCAGCTACTTCAGTAATCAGATAGTCGATGTGTTTTGCCAATCGGCCCTCATTAGGCAAATCGAATGACCTCAACAAAAGGTTAACTTGCAAACGCGATCGATCGTATTCAGGCGGTTGCCCCATCGGTCTATTTGTTCCGTGTAGTCAAAACCACAAAAATAATTGAACGGAATATCGTCTACGCTGAAAATGAAGACTGACTTGCATGGTAGGACAGGTTGCCACTTTCCATTAGAATCAATGAGATATCAAAACCGCAACACTTCGAGCTTTCACTTTGAAGTGAGGCAAAGATGTGCCCAGGAGGTATGAAAGCGGGAGTTTCTCCCATTTAACAACTCATTAATATCAAATTTTCGTGTTCCATATGTGCTATAAGGTTGCAAAATAATCTTTCCGCTTTATCTGTTTCCTCATACTAATTCTTTGTAAGGTGAAGCGAATACATTTCACTTACGTATCTGCCTGTGCTAACTACACGTCCAGCTTCAAACATCCTCGGAAAAAGGAGAAATTAAGATCCTTCCATTGCTGTTACACCAAGACTGTCAACAAGCCTGTTTTTACTGCACAAGGAACATATGTAGTTCATGTTTAACGTTTTTGAAGCAAAGATTTCCGGTTCCTCAGTTGGAAAAACATAATCCAGTGGTAAATGCAGGATGTTCATCTTCTTTTCTGAGCAAGACACAACCCTGCTCCAAATGTTTGCGATTCAGCCTTTTTTTGCATGATCATGCTCCACAGCTACCTCCATTACATTCTACGCAATATCTTTGTTATACGCATTCACAGTATTCGGTTAAGTTGGCTGATTATTTTGGGCGACTGTGCAACAAGTTTGGCTATCGGTATTTCAAATGCTAATAAGGTTAGCATACATACATTCGAATGACCAATAACCTTCATGGTCAAAGAACCATTGAGGAACGCCCACGCAGTATCTGCGTTAGTTCGAGAGATACTCAAAATAGATACTCCTTGTGAACTTCTTGCCGGATCCGTGGCAGTAATTCATTACACTGACAGCTGATTTCTAATGGCCTTTTACTGGGTCCATCGCCACTGCTTACAAATCAGAGTGCCAGCCACCAATCCGGAACACCCTTAGGCGGCCTTTCCTATTAGAACCCATCAGTGGTGTGCCTGCCTGGTTCAATCGGATTGTGTTACCAAGCAAGCAAGAATTTCAGTAAAATTTTTATGGGCAGTATAGATTGCAACTAGACATTGAGACCAAGTCTCCTGTTTTCCGCCTAAATAAACGTCACTCGGTCCAGAGCATTTGTATTGGGGCCAAACATCTTTTCATCTGCATATACACTGGATGAGAGATTGTTGATATAAAACGGTTCTTCGGTGCTGGCTTAGGTACCTGCGCTATGCGCTCGTTAGCCTGACTGGTGGTCTGTATAGCAAGAACATTTAAGCAGTTATCTGGAATGCACCGTTGATTCTGAAAAAGAGACACAAGCTAAGAAACAGGTATATCAAGCTGATCTGGCTTCATGGACTGTATTTCTAATCGATGATATAACTGCGCTACAAGTTAATAAAACAACCGGTGGATTCAAACTCGTATGAAATTAGTCACGATACGCTACCTGTCCATTCCACTTGATTGCCACTTCTTTTGACAAAAATATTACCAGCAGCAGTTGTAGTAATAACTGTTGATATGCTTTCTATTGTTCCGGTAATGCAACTAGTCGCGGTACCATCAGCAATAGGGAGACTATAATAGGTGGAAGCGACGCCTGTATTTGTTCCGAAGGTTTCACCTTCACATGCAGTCGTATTAGTAGCTATATACAAGCTAATTTCGCTAGTCACTTCAAGTATGCTTGCAACTGTTTGCTTATCTGATGGGCAATTCCCCTGCTTCGTCATCAAATGTAGCTGAGTTTTCAATGAACCAAGTTCGGCGCTGATCTTAGGGGACTTCTTGAGCAGCAGCGGTACAATGCACAATCGCTTAGCAGTTGCACAGTTCACCTCTGGGCCAGAGTTATGCACTTAACAAGTGTCACTCTACCGGAAGAGATCCAGAGATAATCTATACCTTTGAACGGTAGGTTAGACTTCGCAACAAATTGGGAAATGGTGTAGGTTGAAAACCAGTTGCTATTATGCGTAGTTGTCAGCCCCGAGCAACAGGATTACCTGAAGATAGAGACCGCGTAAGCAAACGGCGGCTTTGGCTTGTACCGAACCGTTTGGACATTTTTAACATTGAACTTTGTTGGCATTTTCACCTTCTATTCCTCCAATTGTTTTAATAATTATAATTCCCCATCGCTTGCGTTTTCCGGATGGGATGCGTACTACGTTACTGCTGCTGCTCTCTCTCTCTCTCTCTCTCTCTCTCTCTATCTATCTATCTATCTATCTATCTATCTATATCTCTCATCCGCCTTCATTTCCGCGTATCTCTACACAAAGCACGTTGGGTCCAGCCTCTGACTATTTGGTATTCGGTATAATCCTTACTAGTTATCCTCGAGTCCACTATCCGCATAGCAGCACACAAGCTCCACGTCCCATTGCAATTTTCTCGTTACCGGCACCAGTAAGAAAATAATGGAAAACGAAAATATGTATAATCAGAGATAATTGTGTATTAGGTAGTCAGTCACTGCGTTTTCGCCAAAATGAGTCAATTCTGTACATGCCTTCTGGAATGAATGGGAGTAATAGTTACAAATAGGCGAATATATACATGCACATTCTCATAATCTGTTTATATGAAACTACAGATTAGCTGAGGAGGAATCTACAGATACCAATGCTGGCAAAATGAGTGGAAGGATTGTATCCTTGTGGGCAGTGAACGGCCAATCAGAGAGCCGTACGCGACGCAAACTTGGATAAACAACGTCGCGTGGTTTTCCAATAGTCAACATGGATTTAATCTGCGGTGTGAATAGTAAACTTCCTGCATCTGTGAACACATTGTCTGTTCGAAGAAGCTTGCGACCCTCATTATTCAAAGTTACAAGCTAATGAATACATCAGATCAGCCAAAGAAATGCTGAATACTCACTGGTTCGTTGAGAAATTGGACATGCTTCGAAAGACTTGGTGATCTACCAAAAAATAATCAGCTTTGTTGGCATACATGGACCTGTGGCTGGACGTTGGTCCCAGAATCACTTATAGGAAGAGCCATTCACAAAAATAATACAGCCCGGAAAGTGGTGCATATCAGTCGCATCGTCTGTGTAGCTTGGCACTGGTGTTGTACGATGACAATATCCACACCGGTTGACACAGGGATGTACATCGTACTCATTTTTTAATCGCATACTAAGATACCCTTTCTGTCGAATTATGCTATCGTTCATGAGCCATCGTCTTGCTGTCGTGTGGGCTCCGCTGAACTAGCACTAAAGTGTCTGTTGGAGTATACTTTATGAGCCAACTTTTGCATGGTCAGTCCGGTGGGTAAGGGAAGGGAATTGCTTCGTCCGTCTCCTTCATTATATGGATCACTGGAGTCTGGCCATAAGTGACGACTTTGCTGAGGGTCGGAAAATGCCCCACCCAGTGATGCGTGGGACTTAGTGAAGTGAGGATAACCCTCCAACTGAAAGTAAGCAGCGTACGGGTTTTGGGAATCACTTGGCATGACCAGACTGTTCACAGACCTATTCGAGGTTCCCGTTTCAGACCTCTGTAGCATAGACCAGGATGAACCCACTGACCTACCGGCAAAGTTAGACCAACTAGCGTCCGGTAGATTTGAGGACGAGCCATTCAATCCATATCGAACGTCAGTGTTTGAGTCGCACGCGTTTCCTGCCCCATAGTAGGCCAGTTGTGAGGCTGCATAGTTGGCCGCAGCTACCGCAGCCATCATGGCAGCAGCAGCGGTGCTGCTAGCGCCCATTCCTTGTGCCGGAGTGCTTGAGCCACTCCTTCTTTCTGTGGAAAAGGGTGGAGGCGAGTCAACGCTAGACCCGCCAGCCTGATTGGATCTTAGGGCACTGTGGCTTTCTGACACTTGGCGTTCTGTCATTTGGGAATTACTGTAGATCGTGCCGGCCTCTGAATTCGAATAAAGAAGGGGCCAGGTTGGAAGTATAGATGAATGGGCCGAATCATTTGAAGGAGAACCTCGACGATTGCTTGCATTGTACGCAATTTTTCCATCAGACACTACTGCAGCCGCAAGAGCTGCCGCTGCTGCTGCTGAAAGTGAATTAGTGGAGCGATTAAATTCTGAGTCTGGAGCATTTTCAGGTGGAGCAATGTGAGATCCCTGGCCACCTCCGTCTTCACAAGTCATCATGCAGGCGGTATTCGATTGCTCTTTGGTACCCAGGCGGGCGTTCACCTCGGGATACTCTCTGTATGGTAATGTTGTAGCCGCCGCGAACTGCCTCGCGGGGTATGAAATCGGTGCATGGTAATTTGTCTGGTATGCCGGAGTTGGTTGCTCAAAAGCATCATGGCTGCTACGCGACAGACGCACTGTACATTCTTCATCCTGCACTCCGGTCGCATAATATGGAGAGATGTTTGGGTTGAGGTACATGGATGCTGGCTGATGAACCGAGTGCGAGGTGCTCGAGGGGGTGAACTTGATCCCAGGTGAAGAGAAGGGTCCACAATGCGGGTTATCATGCATTAGCCCTGCTAAATGCGGTGGCAGATATGGCGGTGTCTGTCCACTATACATTTGAGACGCGCTGTTAAATAGCCCATGCAACTGATGATGACGGTGATCCTCAATTTGGTGCATGTGATGACCAAACTGGTGTGCTCGGGTTGCATTTGAGCTCAGTGTGTCGAATAAACTGGACACGCTCCGAGCCGAATACGGCAAGCTGGTTACTGGATGTCCTGTCATGCTGGAACTCGAACCACTGCACATATACCCACCCATTACAGAACTGATGGTTGTGGAATTCTTTCTATGCTTCTCTAACGGCTTGTGCTTGCGACGTGGTCGATATTTGTAATCCGGATATTGAGCCATGTGGTTTGCCCTTAAACGCTTCGCTTCGTCAATAAATGGTTTTTTTTCCGCTTCACACAAACTTTTCCACATAGACCCCAAGCGTTTACTGATTTCAGAATTGTGCATTTTTGGGTTTTCCTGAGCCATACGCCTTCGTTGTCCTCTGGACCAGACCATAAATGCATTCATCGGTCGTTTCACTCTGTCTTCTTTCTTGGACCCGTGTGGACCAGGGTGTTCAAGTATCCGCCCAGGACCCTCACGATTTGCCTAGACAAGCAGGGACATCAGATATATTCGGTTATGAACGCCTCAAATGGTCGATCAGCAAAACATTTCGCAACGTTCATTATCTCTTTTAGTGTATAATGACTAGTGCAAGGAACCACACAATACGTTCTAATTTTTGAAAATGGGGATGTTGCATGTTTACGTGGGCGCAGTCTATCATGAAAAGAGAACTTATTGGTCACAAAATGAGAAGTGTCGTTGTCACCTGCACAGTTCTACCAGCCTCACAGTACCACAAATATTACCCTATAAATCGAGACGAGAAACAGACGGGAGTTAATCAGGAATTAATTTGCTAATCGGTAACTCTACAATAGCTGAGAGTCAAGCAAAATTGTAGGGCTGATAAGGTGACCAAGTAGCATATTTATCAATGTCAAGTGGTGTTTCTCTAATGACGGCACTCTCATAGCTTCCACATATCAAGATATCTGCGAACTTACATCCAATCCACCCAGGATCACACTCCGTAGGATGGTCAGCACCGCGCTCAGTATTGCAAAACAAGTTAATATTTCAATCACCCATGTTTTCTACCATCAAGAATGAATCACCTAGTATGTTGTGAGATTATTTCCAGTCTGATAGTAACGTTAAGTTGCTACGGTTTCTGCTGCGCACCGCGATGGTTAACGGGAACTATGGGTGTTGACAATAAACGGGGTTAGTTTGGAACTAGACTGGTGTCCATCCTTCGTTTACTTCTGAGCAGCGGTAGTCAACCATCCGCATGTTCAGTCGGAACAGTGAGACTCACATAGTGTACCGTGGTATTTCGGACCAACTACTCGTTGGACAACTTCTGTTCATGGTAATGCTAAGGACCAAAATTCCCTATAATAAAGAGGATTAAAGTTGACGATGATGGGTAAGCACAAATTTTGCATGCATGAGCCCCTTGTCTGCTTGCGCTAAGAGATGAGCAGTTCAATAGAATTGGAAAACGTTAGAGCCGCATCACTTCTCGTTTACGAGAGAAAATGGCCCGCTATTCACCGATCCAGGGCTAAAATTAGATCGCTGACGTACATCTTGCTTTCCATGAGAAATGTTGAGAAACAATGGAACTAGATATCGGATGGTTTCGAACTCAGGGGAATTTTCGCTTCGTTAACTGCTAGTATACACGAGCCTCAGAGAGAATCTGTCGAACATTTGGTCTTTGCGAAGCTGCTCCTCATCATGCCGCTGGCACTGAATGAATAGAAATAGCGCGTGTGGTTTGGCGCGTATCGAAATTCCTTTGATGGAAACCGCGAATTTACTTGCAAGCATGAAATGGAATGAAATAGAATGTTCCATCACTGAACTAGGTACTATGCCCCTCAGACCATTACATTAAGAAATAGTTGAAATACATTAAGTGACAAACTGAAAGCGATAAGGACCAATGTGTCTCAGTCCGTATGCTGATCATCTGCTGATATTCTCTTCCCATCCCCCTGCTAAACCTGTACGGGACTTCTTCCGATCGAACTTGTAACATGACAGCCACCAGGGAAGTTTGCGGGTCCTGAATGTACGGTGAGACAGAAGTTGACATACCTTTATCGGTGTGATGCAGCAACATCGAAGAGGCATTATCCAAATATCAAGTCATGTACAGGCCTCAGAGATGAGGCCGAGGTCTACTCCTTAGTGCGTCACCAGATGTACCGCAGTTCGACACTTGTCGCTTTACTTAACAGCAGAACAGTACCTTGGCTGGCCGATTATTAGGGCTGATGAGCGACTCCCCTTGAGGCAGCATTTCATAAAATGCGTCATTTTTAGAGCGTCTCACCGGAACAATTTTGTGTAGGTGCAAAGTTTTCTTGCATTCGGTTTCGACTCTATTCGTGTAAGACAACTCCCAGTGTTAAAATTCCATTCCAGGGCCCCAATTTATGATACCTTTTCAGATGTGGTCACCTTGAGAACCATATGCAGCACTACCTCAAGACGGCTGTCATGCTTTTCAGTTATGCATTGAAGGTAACTGAGAAAACTGTTCTGCACCACAGGTGCATGCTCTTCATGTCTTGAAGGTAGTCATCGCGTGGTGTTAAGTGTCAGCCGCCAGGCAGAAGATTGAAATAATTTACTTTCTCCATGGTTACCACGAATATCACAACAGCAATCCCATGCTAGACGGTGCGTCGCACATACTTGCCTCCGGGAGGCTATCCTTAAAGCATCATCCTGTCACTGAAAAGTCCATTAATAAATTACTCCCGTCAAGTGCTCAGGTTAGACACACTGTTGTAGCACCACATTCTGATAACCGCATAGTAGTACGGTGGATGCTGGAGTATTTCAATCACTCCTGACTACTTTCGCCAGCGAAAGCAACAGCTTCATAGCCCGGTTCTCATTGTTCTCTAGTCAGTAATTAAAGTTGGGACTAGAGCGCCACTGAACTCACTGAGTAGTTAAGTCACCTTATACGTTCTAGTCCCTGCATTCACCTCTGATTGAGAAGAAGCTCATAAATTTCCCGATACACTGGACCGCTTTGTTTTCGGCATTTGCAATCGTCCCTCTGAATGTTGTTAAGCTCAGTCTTCTATAAGCTAATTTGCGTTTGACCTGGTGTTAATTGGAATTGCTCTTCATATACTCCGTATTCACAGCTATCATCACTGCCTAGAAATATAAGTCTATTTGACTCAGCAGCAAACGGGTCATGGTAGATTATGATGTTCTTTCACATATTCTAGTTTGAACCCAACAGTACCTTCTTAACAATGACCATTTTCTGTTCGAACACGTTTAGCGATTCTCTGGCGTCGACCGGAGGTGAATAGTCCCTAACACAGTGTTCGAAATGTGACAAAACAGCACACACTCGGATTCCGAAGTGTTACTCCAGGAAGCGCGTCAGTTTATCACAGTACGGCACTCCATACTGTATGCGTAGTCAACTGTTGCACAACTGCTTGCAGCGAGTAGTGTCATCATGCGTCGTAGAACCGCTCGGAAAGTATCGTTGTCTAAGTGGCCGATAGTTTGGACGGAATCATAGAGGTTCATCTCAGGTATCCCCACCGTGAAACATGATGCCACGAGGACCCAGAGAGACGTTCGCTCGGTAATGGTTTGCTTGGAGAACCCATCTATATGCGACGCACGTTTCTTATCCTGATGGATCCATGATACTGCGCATGAAGACCAAACATTATCGAATCCTTCCACCGAAAATGTAAGCTGAGGTGAGGAGTTTGGACCTGCCTAAATCCTAACATACAAACAGCCAACTAATCACAGCCAATGTGCGTACTGATTTTCTAATTTTCTCATGAGATGCAATTGCTTTCAAGGGCGTTCAACTGTTGTTTCATTCAATGGTATCGGTCAGAAAACAACAACAACGACAACAGCAGTACATCAGCCATTTGAACTGTTGCTTCGCTGCCATACAACCATAATGACCTGTGAAATAAAAAATGATAAGAGGGAGAGAAGGGGGACTTGCCTGAAAACCTTAATGCCCTAAGCAAACATTCAAGGTCAAGGTGCCTGCACCTTGTGTAGACAACATACCGTCACAAACAGCTGGCTATCTTGCAAAGATAAGGCGGCATCGGCGAGACAGATTCCTTGCGGCTTTCACTGCCACGCGTCATAATAAGCCATTACCCCGTAGATAACTCAGCACCAAACATACTTTAAACAGGCAATCCGATTAGAAGACGGCAGCAGACGCGGCACTGGTGTCTACTACGAGCCATGTCCTGCAAAATCTCTAGCCAAGCACAAGGTGAGTCAAGTGGACTCCAACCCGGAAGGCGAGACGGACCAACGGCACCCAGTTTGGTTGTCAGTGACTTCATTTCCCGCTGCCAAGTCAACTTCTGTCCACCTCGAGCCTTGCGCCATCCTACACCTGGTAGACTGAACAAGGCCCTCCTAGGTAAGCGGTGACCAGGCATGCGTAGCACGTGCCCGAGCCAACGCAACTTATTCAGTGCTATCTGTTGTTCTAGGGAGGTAGCATGATCATCACCACCTAGTACTCGCCTATGCACATCATCGTTGCGGACACGCTGGTGCCATCCCACACCAGCAATGCTTCGCAAACAACGATGATCAAAGACTTGAAGGCGCTTCAGATCTTCAGACCGAAGGGGCCAAGTCTCACTACCATACAGCAGAACGGTCCTCACTGTGGCCTTGTATACACGGCCTTTCAGACGGAGGGAAACTCCCTTCTGTCGCCAAAGATGCCGCAGGTTCAAGAAGGCAGCTCTGGACTTTGCAGTGCGTGAGCTGACGTCAGTTTCTATGCACCCATCGTTGCTGATGCAGCTGCCAAGATAAGTGAATCGATTAACCACCTCGAGTTCCTCGTTAGCAAACGTCAAGGGGTCATCAAGTGGCTGGTGGTCCTGCAGCAACACTTTGCACTTTGAAGATGCGAGGCGCATACCAAATAATGGGACCACTCTGGACAGACTATTCAGGGTTGATTGTGCTGCCGCAACATCGTCGAAAAACAAAACCGTATGGTCCGCATAATCAAGATCAGGTAACCTTTCACCAGGCAGGATCTCGACATCTACATCATGAGATTCCGCAATGGAACACTCCATGATAGAATCCCCGACGAAATTGAAGAAAAATAGGGAAATCGGACAACCCTGACGAACTGCACTTGTGGTCGGAAAGCTATCCGATAAGCCACCGTAGACCCTGATGCGGCCTGTAGTGTTCGAGTATAGAGCACGTAGGACGTTCACATATTTCGTGGGAACACCTTTCCGCACAAGTATTTCGAACAGAATCTATCGATCGACTGAATCGAACGCGTAGCCTTATAAGGGACTGTTTCCGATATGCGTCTGGTGCGTGTCTCGAAATGGTGGTTGCATATGGTTCTACTCCAGTGGCACTTCGAGTTACTTCAAATAAGTCGGGAATTCACACAACCTAACTGTTCAGGCAACGTACTGTATGTGTATCCCCATGAAGCTGCTTAGGGTCATACCCCGTTCTCAATT